GGGGGGGGGGGGGGAGGCCGGGCCTTCCCGCATCAAAGGGAGCTCGCGCCGTCACCCTTGGCCGCGGCCGTCTGCATGGCCGCCAAGAGGGCACACCAGCCCAGGCAGCGGCCGCACGCGGCGGCGCGGGTGGCGCTGGGGCCCTGGGCGTTCAGTTTTGCTTTTGGGGGCTTCGTTGGCAATCGCTCGAGCGGTGTGTGCCGGATTTCGGCGGTTTCGGCAGTTCAAACATACATGTAAATGCGGCGGATCAATCTGCTCCGGGGAGCATCCTATTTGCTTCGAAAAGCCCGGCTGCACTCATCGGAGGACGACAGGCGGCCGGGCCCTCCCGGTTGCGTATGGCAACATGGGCGCCGGCGCCGGGGCCGCGACGCTGGCGCATGGCCGACGTCTGCGCAGGCTTTGCAAAACAACCCCCCGTCGCGGCCGCGGGATGCGGTCCGCGAACGAAACCGATCAACGAATCTTGCGCGGCCGCGCCGCGCCGGATGGATGGCGCTGGCGCGGCGGGGCACTCTTTGGACACGTTTGGGCGAGCATGGACGTAAGCGGGCGCGGATGCTGGCGCGCCGGTTGTTGTGAAAGATTGAGGCTGGGCGGGCAGCGCGAGCGAGCCGGCGGCGCTGAATGGGCCGCGGCTGCGGCGCCGGACCCGCGCCTGGGCCGTTCGTTTCTAGGCAAAAAAACAGTGACTCAAAAATATCAAAAAGTATCCCTGGTAGTATCTAATAGCATCCGTAAAGTGCAAGGGGCGAGTGCATGATGCAGGGATGGTTGCGGCGCGATGGCCAGTGCGTCTGCTATAGGAGGGCATGCATTTGTGATTTTGGGCGAAGCCACGCCGCCACCGCCCTGGGAGGGGAGGGGTGCGAAGGATTGCCGCTCTGGGAGCTGGCCGCAGTTCTGCTGCGCTCAACGTGGGCTCAGCAAGCGCCGCGGGGAAACGTATCGTGTCCAAGCCCCACCCCACTGCCAAAACTGTGCAGAAGAAAGCCAAGATTAAGGGGGATCGATAACGGCAGGATGGGCGCCGGGGGCCGCCCCTGCACGGCCGCAGCGCGGCGGGGGCACAAGTGAGGGGGGTCGGTCAAACCGCGGTCAAACCGCGGTCAACCCCGTGTCAGAACCAGCCTGTCAGGCCGTTGCGGTTGCTGCCGTCGTCCGAGCCGGACGCGGCGGCGAACGGCGTCGTCAGCACGTATGCGCCGGCCGCGGGCGCCTCGCTGCTGCCCCCGCCGCTGCCCTTGGACCCGTCACCGTCGGCTGCCGGCGCGGCGCGCGGCGCGCCGTCGGGCGTCGCGGGGGCCGCCGCGTGCTCTAGTGGGTCTTCGAAGCAGGAGGCCACGCCGGCGTTGTCGGCGGCGGCGGCGGCGGCGGCGTGGAGGGTCTCGAGGCGCGCGACTACGTCTCTGAAGGAGGGCCTGCGGGGTTCATCCACAGGTTTGGGGTGTGTTAGGGGGGTCAGATGGGGGGTGTTTGGAGG